CCCTCAGCTCAATCCAGTGTTTTTGCAGGGTTACCTCCGGGATAAAGGAAAGATGGCGTGAGCCCTCCCTCAGCACAGAGAGCTCAGGGATAGCAGGTCCATATCAGCCTGGGTCTGTGTGAGCAGGCGAGGAGGAATCTGCCCGCCTCCCAGCAGGTGCCTTGAGCACCCTCTAGCATGGCCTGCTTGCCCACAGGCGCGGGGAAAGGGCTCAGGTCTCTGTGAGCCCCGGCTGATAGATCACCTCACCTCCCTGGTGCAGTCATACTGCTGGGATCCTGGCAGAGACAACTTACCTTCCCTAGAGGGGACACATCACCCCAGGATTCTGCCACAGGACTTTTGGAGGTAAAGCTGAAGTGGGGCCCACAGCCTCACAATGACAGCACTGGCCACCATCATGGAGAATCAGTGGCCAGGTCAAAGAGCAAGGCTGGACCTGTCAGGCTGGACCTGTCACGGTTCTGGGGTGGAATCATCGAAGAGCCCCAATCACATCATTGTCAGCAATGGCTGGGAGCATCCACCCCCTCCTCACAGCAGCCCTAGGATGTCGGTGCCAGTGTTACCCCCATTTTCAGACAAGAACAGGAGGGAAATGTGACTCACGAAGTTGGGCTCCAGAGCCTGAGCCCTTTCTCGGATTTGCTGCGCTCACTCCCGCTCCTGCCCTCTGAGATTCCCCGTGGTGTGTGGATTGTGGTGCATGTGGAAGGAAGGAGTCGGAGGTAAGTCTGGCTCAGTATCTCACAGGCCTCGTGTCATCACACGAAAAACAGAGTAGGGTAAAATGAGAACCACTCTTCTCCTCTCTGGCCTAATCGGGTGAACTCTGCAAGCACAGACTGACCAGCTTAGAATTCTCAGCAGATCACAGAGCAGTTCTCATAGATGTTTGCATTATTGTGATGTCAAGCTACTGACTCCTCAGATCTCTAATAGTCTCTCTGATACAACCACCTGAGGGTAGAAAGAAAGGGATACAAAAGAGAAAAGTTAGTTACGAAGTCCAGGGAGATTTGAAAAGCAGCACATACACAAGCCTGGTCATTGAAATAAAAATCTCATCTGATGAACTCAACAGCAAATCGATGCCCCTGAAGACAGAATGAGTGACCTGGAAGATGATACCAAAGACACTTCCTCTTGCCCCGTTCTTAGCAGATAATGTGGCTTCCTACTTCTGTGATGCACTGCAGCAGCCCCTGCTTGGAGTCTGGAGCCCTAGGCCTTCCATGCTCCCAGGCTCACTACTAGACTCCTGGCCACCCCAATGTCTTTATTTTTGCCCCCCCCCCCCCGCTCTGGGGGTTATAGCTTCTTCCTTCACCAACTCTGTTACTTCAGTGTCCCTTTTGCACTTTCAGCCCTCAAACCCCAAGTAAACATGCTTTCAATTCCCTTTCTTGAGATACTAGGTGTGTATTTTTGTCTCCTAACTGGTTCCTGACTAACCCACAACTGGCCCTAGGTGAGGTTCTAGAAGAAAAGGCCTATGTATACGGAGTTTGGGGATTGGTCTGGTCCTGCCGGTCCTGCCTTTGGGCTGGAGTGCAGGGTTGAGCATTTTCCCAGTGGGAAGTGGGGCACGAGCCATCCATGGCCTGCAGTGGCTTCACAGTTAATCGAGCTGTCACTTCGGTTGCTTGGGATGATGGGCCAACTGAAGTAAGCACCAGGGAGCTCAAGTCCTTGCTGCACCTGACTGTCATGGTGGTCGCAGATGGCTATGAGGGCTGTGGTATGGGATGATCCTTAGCGGCCCTGACTATGTACTATGAAGACACGATGGGCTCAGGCTCCCTAACTCTCAGCTCAAGCCACAGTGAGAGAACCAGGGTGCTTCCAGGAAAGGCCTCAAAATTCCCTTACTCCTTGTACCTGCAGGGCTGACAGTTCTGACAATCACATTTGATTGTGCCAGTTACAGATTCCCAAAGTGATGAATTCCCAGCCTCGCCACATTTCACACGAGAATCGTGGGCAGTGATTTGGGAAGAATGGGACCCTGAAACCCGGAATTGGGCCATCTGGTTGGCCTTGGTTGAAGCTGAGACTCAAGAAGCCCCCAGTCCCTCTGCACCTCCCTTGGTAGTGGAGGTGGTTCGACCTCCTGTGTCTGGGGGACTGGTGTTTCTTCGTTGGAGAACTCTGTCGCAAGTTTACCTGGGGAGGAGCCTTGCCAGGGGACACTCACTTGTATCATCCAGGAGACCCTCTACAACTAGATCGTTGTCGTTAGACCCAGAACTAGTGTCAGGTACACACTTAGGGAGGGAGGGAATGTCTCAGATGGGCCCTGATACCAGTTGCAGCCCAGGTCCTGCCCTGAGCGGTAACTGTGTGCTTGGCTTCCTCACCCAAGTACGGAATGACACGTTGGATCATTCTAGCTCTCCCGAATCTAACGACCCAGCTTCTCTAACCCCAACCTCGGCCTGGCAGGGTGAGGAGGCCTCATGAAGCGGTAGAACCTCTCTTGGCTGCCCAGGGGAGTCCGGGCTCCGAGGGTGAAGGCAAGTGTCCGGCTCTCCAGGACTTTCCTCCCTGCATTGGTGTCCAGAAGGGCCCGGGCTGCACGCCTCCACCCACGCCGCACCTGCACCTCCGTTCCCTCCAGGGTGGGAGGGCGTGCGGGGCTGGCGCGAGGCGGTGTCCGATAGTGGGTAGCTGGTGTCCAGGGAGGGTGGTGGGACGGCGGGGACAGGAGAGCAGCCTGGGGGCTGGCTGGCCCAGGACTGGGCAGGTGGGTTGGTTGCTGCCAACCCCAACATAACCCCAGTGAGGCGGGGAAGGAGCGTGAGGAAGGGACAATGGGGCTGGCCAGCCAAGGGTGCGCTGGGGAATAGGAAGCTGCCAGGTATGCAGGGCAGGCCTGCATGGGTGTTTCAAAATGATGGCACTAACATCCTGACCACAGCCCTGTGTGATACGTACTGTCCCCGTCATGAGCGCCATCATCCCCTTCTACAGCTACCCAAGGCCCCACAGTCAAGAAGCAGATTTGGGGATTCAAGCCAGGTTTTGGGACACATGGTTCCCGAGTCCCTGCTGGGTGGCTTCTCCATGGGAAGTAATCAGAGCAGCAAGGTGTTAGGAGGACTCAAGGGCGAGAGGGCTGGCCCGAGGCCAGGGTCCATGGCATCTTCCAGGGAGTATTCATTACCAGTCTCGTAACAGCTAAGAAACACACTTGTCTACTCAGAAGCCATAGCCAGGCCAAGCTGGGAACAGGGCTCACTCCCCTCGCTGGGCGATCGTGGCTCCTGTGCTCATTACTTTGATCTGCCCTACTGTTTCTGCCCAGAACCTTCTAGGGGACTGAAGTGAGGCTTTGGGGGCTCTTTCGTGTGTTTAGAAATTATACATTTTAATCATGGAATTTGTTGCTCTATTTGTTGCCACAGTGCGCTGTGTCCTGTTGTCTCACCAAATCCGACATTTTGCACCTGAATACAAGCAAGCATGGCTTGTCTGTTAAGAATGCCTTCCTCTAAAGTAATGCTTTACAGCCACCTTCAGTGTCACTGCATCTACTCCTCGCAAAACAGTATTTAAACACCATCCCCCACCACACACTTGAAAGGGTACACAGAATTATCCTGCAACACAGCAATTCAATTCCACTCCTAGTATACACGTCCCTAAGAAGGGAAAATCTACATCTACACAAAATCTTTCACATATTTTGTGACATCTACTCCTTCACAAAATATGTGAATTGTCAGAACACTATTCACAAGAGATAAAAGTGGAACTAATCCACATTCATCAACTGAATGGAAGAAAATGTGTTATCTCTGTACAATAGAATAGTATGTGGCCATAAAAAGAATGAAAACCACTAAATTGTATCCTTTGAGTAAAATTGTCTGGAGTGTGAGAAGCTGTGATTACCTTGAAGTAGTGAGATAAGTGAGGTAAAAAAATTTTTGCTTCTTTGCATTTTCTAAATTTTCTGCAATCGCCCTATAGAACTATTTTTACATAATAAATTTTGAAATTTTATGAAATAAGCAGCATCATCATGCTCATTTTACAGGCCAGGAAACCAGCTCAGTGACTTACAAGGGCAGGAGTAGGAAAAGGTCCTGAGGACTCCAAGCCCCAGGCCAGTGCTTCCATCTCTATCCTGCACATTCTGGAACAACTCCTCAGTCACACTGGTCATGACACCAAAGATCTCTGACCACTTAATTTGGGCAAAATAAGGAATGGGCTGGGCATGGTGGCTCACGCCTATAATTCCAACCCCAGCACCTTGGGAGGTCCAGGCGTGAGGATCACTTGAGGCCAGGACTTTGAGACCAGCCTGGGCAACATAGTGAGACCCTGTCTCAAAACAAAACCAAAGCCTAAACAGGAATGTGACACAGCAGACACATCTAGTAGAATTTTAAATCTAGTTTTGAAGCTCAGGTTCAACTTTTTCTGGCTCTCTGATTCTAGCCACATACTTAAAACATTTTTTTTTTGGAGGTGGAGTCTTGCTCTGTTGCCCAGGCTGGAGTACAATGGCAGGATCTCAGCTCACTGCAACCTCCACCTCCTGGGTTCAAACAATTCTCCTGCCTCAGCCTCCTGAGTAGTTGGGATTATAGGTGTGCACCACCATGCCTGGCTAATTTTTGTATTTTTTAGTAGAGAGGGGGTTTCACCATGTTGTCCAGGCTGGTCTTTGAACTCCTGACCTCAGGTGATCCACCTGCCTTGGCCTCCCAAAGTGCTAGGATTACAGGCGTGAGCTACCGCACCTGCCCTCTAGCCACATACTTTATGTGCTTATAGCTGACAGCAAGGCATCGGCTCAGGGACAGCTTTTCAGGCCATGTGTTGTTTTCGAGCAAGTGCTTCCTCTGCAGCCCATTATTATTTCCCAGGTTTACTGGTGGGGGCCACAGCTCATTCTCCTCCTGGTTTAGATAAAAGCTCTTTCCTTATTTAGGAACTGACCACTGAGAAACTGATTCACACAGAAGGCACGTGCTGAATAAAGCAGCTGGTTTTGAAATGCTTTATTAACATTGACTTGAACAGTACAGTGTGGAGACCTTCATCACAAGCAGTACAGGACATCCTAACAAGCTTTTGCTGCTGCCTGACAGCCTCTCAACTGTGGAGGGGAGATTAAGGCAAACAGTGAAGGGAATTCCAGGATGGCTGCAGGTGGCATGGCACAGAATTCCAAGGTGGGAACAGCGGTAGGTGTCATGGTGTTATTGTGCTGTGGAACCTAGGCTACTGCAATCTATACTTCAATTCACATTTTCTTTACTCATGAAGGAAATACACTGTAAAAACTATTACCTCTACCAGTTACGAAGGAAACACTTTTAAAGAACTGATGACCTCTACCACTTATCTATAGTCTTATCAGAAAACTTACTATCAGGTGGTTGTTTTGTTACCTATTTTTTTCACTTAAAGTTGTGTAACTCCCTTTTTAATGATTCAAAAATTACAGTGGTACTTGCATATGCAGTCACCGTTTAAAGGATAAGTAGTTAGCTTGAATTTCCAAACTAGGGATGAAAGAAGGTGTTAACTGGCTTTGCTTTTAAGAAACAAAGCCTGACAGTATAGATTTAAATGATGGTTTTGGAACAAACATAAACATAGGGTAAAGAGGCCAAAAGACCAAAGCTAACAGCTATTTTAGTTCAACAACATGCATTTCACGGCCACTATGATATGTCTGGCACTAATTCCATACATATCCAGCAATTCCTCGGACTTCCCACTCTGGGGCACTCTTGACACTGCCAGCGAATGAACCTGAATGTCAGGATCCATGGAGACGGCCGCAGAGACAGCTTCCCCGATGCCACCTGGGAAAACAAGGATGTTAGGCCCTTTCGTGAAAGCAGCTCCTCAGCCTTAAAGCCTCAACACACAGAGGCCTCTGAATGCGTGGGAGGCACTTCTCAGTATGCCCCTTGTGGGACCAGGGGAAGGCTGGGGCAGGACTTCTTTGTTCCTGCCCTGGTGGATCCCACCCTGCATCCTTTCCCTGTCATCAACCTCAGGTGTGAGGACAACTGTGTGCTGGGTCCCAGGAGTCCTTCAAGAGAATCAGGCACCACTTGTGCAGGCTCAGGGCCCCTGCCGCGTGGACACATGATGCTCTTCCTTGCATCACATCTGTCCCACTTAACCTTTCCAGGCGCAAACACTGCCCAGCCCCTTCTCCCTGATACACTGTTTTTCTGCACTTGCTGTGTTCTCTGCTTGCAAGGCACTATTCCTGCTTCTTTCGTCGGGGCACACTTTTTTTTTTTTTTTGAGGCAGAGTCTTACTCTGTTTCCCAAGCTGGAGTGCAATGGTATGATCTCGGCTCACTGCAACCTCCACCTCCTGGGTTCAAGTGATTCTCCTGCCTCCACCTCCCAAGTAGCTGGGACTACAGGCGTGCACCACCACACCCAGCTAATTTTTGTATTTTTAGTAGAGCTGGGGTTTCACCATGTTGACCAGGCTGGCCTCAAGCGATCTACCTGCCTCAGCCTCCCAAAGCACTGGGATGACAGGTGTGAGCCACCATGCCTGGCCTGGGGTATACTATTCGTCATTCCAAACCTAAAGAAACAGTGATGCTTTTCATGACGCCTCGCTTGCCTGCAATAGCCACTCCTCTGTGTTGCCACTGACTCGACCTGGTGACTGGGCACTGTGCACTCTGTTGGGGACACACAGATGTGGATAAGCGTGGCCCCACGCTTAGTGAACACCAAACAACAAAGGCATGCTGGGTGAGAGGTAAGACTATAGGTGATGCCTGAGAGCATGCCATGTGGCCAATCAAGGAAAACAAAAACACCAAACCTTCCAAAGCATTCCCAATGCCCACACACACCTTGCGGGTAGTGATCCTCCACTGTAATGATCCGGCCCTCTGTGGCTTTTGCACTGGAGATGATAGTGGTGACATCCAGAGGTTTAATGGTAAACAGGTCGATGACACGGATAAAAATATCTGCAGAACAGCAAAAATCAGCTTGGTACAAGAAACAGACTTAGCTAACTAACATGCGGGGATAAAAATAAAAAGAGCACTCAGGGCATAGGAGGTAGCTGAAGTCCTACCTCTTCCCAGCTTGAACTTCAATGCTCAGACTCAACCAACTGACCTTGTTTCAAAAGCTCATCAGCAGCTGCTAAGGCTTCATACACAGTAATTCCAGCTCCAATAACTGTGACCTTGTCACTGACACAGTGGCGGAGGACCTGGTATAGTGCCAGCAAAACAGAACACCGTGGTTACTACACACAGAATGCATCTCAAAGTGGAAGGCACTTTGCTATGCTGCTATCCTCCAATTCTAACAATTTCACTCCTTAATAATTTGCTACTAAAAAAATCAGATGCATTTACGAGTCAGGACACATACTTTTTGATAGGCAGTTACACTGCTCCAGCTGTCCTGGAGCATGGATATGCCACATAGCCACCAGGAGTCTGGTTTGAGAGCTCACTATGGCACGGAAATATTGGACTCCAATGACTAACATGTTAATGGGAACATGCTGGGCACTGGAAACATGCTCAGTGCTAAGATCTTGTGTGCCTGAGCTCTGAGAACCCTCACAGCCTCCCTGTAAGATCTGTTCAGTGGCACAACCATTCTGCAGCTGAGGAAAGCAAATCTCAAAACAGGAGGAAGTGGCCCAGGGCAGGGCTGGGACCCACAACCAGGCGGGGCTGACATCAAAGCCCTCGCTCTCAGTAACGTACCATTCTGCAAGCAAAGACAGAGTTCCTGGGCTTCTTTCATAGTTTAGTTGCCTCCAAAGCTACCCATCGGAGGAGGCATCTGGAATTATTCTCCACTTCCTCTCTGTATAGGTTTCCCTGTAGCTTAAGAACCACTGCTGATGGTACAGATAGGGTTTCTGAGCCACCCCATTTTTTGAGGATGCCCTGGCCTCTTAAAATACATATACACGTATGCACACATATTCATGTCCTCTTTGCAAAGCCCAGCCCTCTAATGATCCATGCCATGCATGTTATCACACACATTTAACTCACATTCTTTACTAGCAGTAAATTTACTTGCTTTTGTCAGGACAGGAAAATTATTAGAAAAAAGATGACGGAAATAAGCAAGCTCTGCAAACCATGTGAATGTCAAGAGACCCTCCCCATAGAAACAGAACCTGTAGTTAACACCAAAGGTGACCACTGACTTTTCTATTCGGTGGCGTTTTCCAGCTACCTCATGGCACACAGTGGACAGTTCTGGAAACACCTGCTTTATGGCAGCACTCTGGCCATTCTGAGCACTTGCAACTGTGAATTCTGGAGCAGCCTACTCCTTAGCAACCAAATCAGATGTTACCTGCTGCTCTTTCAAGAGTGGCTATGGGCAAACCTTTCTATACAGTACGATCGCAACTGTGTAAAATATACATGTATGCCTAGAACAAAGACAGGAAGGAAGCATGCCAAAATGTCTGCAAGCTCCACTCCCTAGGTGAGCAGAGTCACTTATTTTCTCCATAGAAGTTTCTGGTTTTCCCCATGCATGGCCCTGACAGGCAGGCTGAGCAGGGGATGGTCAGTGTAGTAGGTAGGCCTGGGGAGATTGGGCTCACTACTCAGGCCTGGATTCTGGTCTTGGTACTCACAAGCTGTAAACCCTTAAGTAAGACACTTACCTTCTCCAATCCTCATCTAAAGATAGGGTTGATAACCTAACTTCTCAGGGCTTTTGCGAGAATACCAGAGATCATGTTCCCTTTTATTCCTGGCCTCAGATCTGTAAAATCTGAACCTAACAGATTATTCATTTCAAGTAATTTCTATTATTTTTTGTCTTGTTTTGTTTTTAGAGACAGGGTCTTACTCTGTCATCCAGGCTGGAGTACAGTGGTGCAATCCATCATAGCTCACTGCTGCCTTGAATTCCTGCGCTCCTCTATCCTCTTTCCTCAGCCTCCTGAGTAGCTGACACCACAGGTGCATGCCACCATACCCAGTTAATTTTTTTTTTTTTTTTGAGACGGAGTCTCCTTTGTCGCCCAGGCTGGAGTGCAGTGGCACGATCTCCACTCACTGCAAGTTCCGCCTCCTGGGTTCACGCCATTCTCCTGCCTCAGCCTCCCGTGTAGCTGGGACTACAGGCGCCCGCCACCGCGCCCGGCTAATTTTTTTGTATTTTTAGTAGATACGGGGTTTCACCGTGTTAGCCAGGGTGGTCTCGATCTCCTGACCTCGTGATCCGCCCATCTCGGCCTCCCAAAGTGCTGGGATTACAGGCGTGAGCCACCACGCCCAGCCTCCCAGTTAATTTAAAAAATTTTTGTAGAGATGGGAATCTCACAATGTCGCCCAGGCTGCTCTGGAATTCCTGGCCTCAAGCAATCTTTCCACCTTGGCCTCCCAAAGTGCTGGCTTCTGTTTTGTTTAGCTTGCAGCCAAGATAAATTACAGCCAGGATGCTCAAGTGGCTTCATGTTATTATCTTTGAGCTCAACAACAAAAGACTCCATTTGGAAAGCAGAGAAGTTCAGGCTAAGCTGAAGTTCACAGGATGTTCCTTCCCAAGGAAAAGCAGGTAAAGATCACAATTGTTTTTTAAAAAAATGACAGCAAAGAAAGGATGATGTCTCAACCCTGAAGATACCTGGTGATAGATTCAGAAGTGTTCTTTTTACAGGAGATGATACTGAGTAACACTGGAGCGCTTAAGCCCTTACCTTGGCCTGTCCGATCTCAAAGCGTTCCTGTGGGGTGTAAATAACCATAGTTTCTGGTCGGGTGGTCCGAATGAAGCACATCCCCTAGGACATAAATGGAGCCATGGTTTAGAAAAGCAAACAATGAATTTCCAACAACAGACATTGAAAGAAGTGAAGGAGGGGTGTGAACAGGACAGCTCTTTTTACTAAAACTGTAGGCTTTGGAGCAAGGGGTGAGCATATACAGCCAGTGGACAACACGGCCCAGCAGGGCCCTGGGGCTGCCCTGAAGGACGAGCTCCCCGTGCCATCACACCAATTCCCTTGAAAGATTCCCCAATACTCACTGACTTGTTCTGTCTGCACAGAACATTAACTCACAGCAGGAGCACTGACTCACATTGACTAGAAAGCCCAGAAAAGAATGTCAAAACATTAACTTTTGCCACAATAGCTTGTAATGTTTCATCCTTAGAAAGACCATAAACATCTATCTGAATACAAGATGACTTGCCCCTTTCCCGATCAGATGTAAATACATTTTTATGACCAATTTGAGCACATAAACATTTACCAGCATAAATGAACACTTGTATGTCTAAAGTATTTGTTAATTTACATACATATTAATGGATGCATCATAAACGAATATAGCAAGAAACGTCGCTACTGTTCATTCATATGCCATGACCCATCTTTATTCAGTGTCTTCACCGAGGCATAACTCAGCTGCAGTGAAATGCATACATCCTAAGTTCAGCACTTCCCGAATGCTGCATCCACCGTGGAGCCCTCATCCAAGCCCAGCAGTGTTTCCGCCAGCAGAGCCCTTGTGCCTCTTTCCAGTCAGTCTCCACCCACTAAGAAGCAACCTCTAATTTCTACCACCTAATCTTGTTTTGCGCCTCTCTTGACCTTTCTAGAAATGAAATCCTATAGTATGTGTGAAATCACAGAACGATCTCCAAGATAAACTAATTTTAAAGGTATACAATTGGCCAGGTGCGGTGGCTCATGCCTGTAATCCCAACACTTTGGGAGGCCAAGGCAGGTGGATCGCTTTAGGCCAGGAGTTTTTAGACTAGCCTGGCCAACATGGTGAAACCCCCTCTCTCCCCCAAAATACAAAAATTAGCCGGCCGTGGTGTAGCCGACCTCTAGTCCCAGCTACTCAGGAGGCTGAGGCAGGAGAACCTGGGAGGCGGAGGCAGAAGCTGCAGAGAACCGAGATCGTGTCACTGCACTCCAGCCTAGGCGACAGAGTGAGACTGTCTAAAAAAAAAAGAAAGAAAGAAAAGTACATAGTAATATGTAAAGTGGGAGCCCACTTATATTTAAAAAAAAAAAATCAAAGAACCCATGAGTGCTTGGAAAGGGAACGTATAGTCCCCACCCCAACTGTGCCAGGGGTTACCTGTATGGGGCATGGGTGAGGTGCAGGGTGGCAAGGGGAGCCTGCTGAACGTTAGCAGGACAGGCTGGAAAGATCAAGACCACACTGCCTTGTCTCCCGTGCAGCTAGGTTCTAAACAGGAATTTGATTCTGTCCATCTGATGCCCTTGCATGAGGTCCCACACACTCTTGGCGCCCTAAGCTGTTCCAAAGGCAAGCCAGGGCCAGGGAACACAGATTCGTCTGTAGTGGCATCCTACCACCCGCTCTCCAGCTTCCTGGATGTCAGGACGCAGCAGGAGCTTCTTCACCTCTGGCTGCAGCCACTGGGGGCTAAAACACTATAGTCTGGGACTCTGCCTGGGGCTTGCTCCTGCGGCTTCTTAAGCAACCTTTGTTAAACACCTTCTCCTGTTTACAATACCCAGAATGGTCCGTGCATCTTCTGCTGAGCCCTGACTGAGACAGGCTGTCAGGTTCTGTTCAGTATCCTGTACTGTTTGACTCTTTTACAAAGCAAATGTGTTTGTGTGCATAATCGCCTGTTTTTTATAAAGAATTCTATCATCAGATTTTCTAAAATGAATTACCACTTTTATGCTGAGAAAAAAGGCCCAATCATCAGTATGAAACTAGTAGCAGAGTCCAGAAGCATTTTCTGTCTGAAACTAGTGTCTCCTCAAAAATACCTTGGCACTGGCCGCCAGAGAAACAGCATGCTCCGTGGAGACAGCATCAGTTGGGTAGAAGATCGTGCACTTGGGAATGGTTCGGAACATGGCTATATCCTCCAGGGCCATCTGGGAAGCACCATCTTCACCTGAGAGAACCACAGCCCGATTAAAACATGAGCATAACCTCATTAGGAACCTGCCCTCCACGCGCTTCTAGCTCTGAAGAAGCAATTATTCCTATTGCCACTGGATGTCCCAAGTTCTAGCAGAGCCCCATAAATGGTCCTACTGCATCCTTGTAACTCATTTACATTGTGTTCTTGCACGCCTGTCTCCCTTGAGGTCACACTGTGACGCCTCGGGTTAGGCTCCCAGTTGACTTTTCAGATGGATCACTCCAAGCTACTGTCCGCAATGGCTGAGAATTGGCCTGAGTTTGGCCTGCTAAGCCTCTGAACCCGTGCTCTTTAGGAAGGTCCTCAGGCTTTGTTCTCCCTTTTCTGCTCTACCTTTTCTACATCCAGAGACCGGGTTTTACATACCAAAGTGGTGTTTTTCATTTCTCCAGGCCTTCCAAGTAGTTAACACACCTTTAAGGCACGTTGAGGGTGCTACAGGGTACTTTAGGGTATATCTGGGAATGCAGTTTCTGGCCAGAAATGTGAGAGAAATCTTATTGTGCACTGGGTGGCTCAGCTCTTCTCAGCTAGGAAGGGGACTGTCACCATGCACACTGCCTTGCCTAGGACCACTGTCTAACCTCAACAGCCCAGCTTTTTTTTTTTTTTTTTTAAATTAACTTATTATTTTGAGACAGAGTCTTGCCCTGTTGCCCAGGCTTGAGTGCACTGGACGATCTCGGCTCACTGCAACCTCCACCTCCCAGGTTCAAGTGATTCTCCTGCCTCAGCCTACCAAGTAGCTGGGATTACAGTCATGTGCCAACATGCCTGGCTAAGTTTTATATTTTCAGTAGAGACAGGGTTTCACCATATCGGTCAGGCTGGTCTCAAAATCCTGACCTCAGGTGATTCACCTGCCTCGGCCTCCCAAAGTGCTGGGATTACAGGTGTGAGCCACTGCCCTGGCTTTTTTTTTTTTTGGACAAAGTCTCTATCGCCAGGCTGGAGTGCAGTGGTGTGATCTTGGCTCACTGCAGCCTCTGGCTCCTGTGTTCAAGCAATTCTCCTGTTTCAGCATCCTGAGTAGCTGGAATACAGGTGCGCGCCACCACACCTGGCTAATTTTTCTAATTTTAGTAGAGATGAGGTTTCACCAAGTGCTGGGATTACGGGCATGAGCCACTGCACCTAGCCTTCCAGTTCTTTTTTGGATGGAACCTAGGGCCACTTTCTCCATGTGACTATTTCAAAACTGACACTGAGCACAGCTGCAGGTGGGCTCAAGGACCTAGGCCCCTCTGCCCCTGCAACACTATCGCGCCTCCTCTCCCTGGCCACCACCTGTGCCTCCAGCTTCACCCAGACAGCCGTGACTCCAGCTCCATCTAGAGCCATCTCGTCCAGCCTCATTCTCCCATGGAGTACCTGAGATGGCTACCCAATGTGCACCTCTGGCATTCTAGAAGTGTGTGCAGCCATATCTACTGAGCCCATCTGCCTGCCACAGGCACGCCAGCTGGCTCATCTTCCCATGTCATTTCTGTCATTCATGAAAATGACTCCCTGACGTTTCCCAAGTGAGGAATCCTGGAGATGGGTGTGTTTTGCTCTTCACACCATCGCAGAGTGCTCCATCTGTTAGGAGGCACATTCACTTCTCTTCACTCTTAGACCCCCTCCCCACCGCCTGGCTTTCTCCCCCTTGCACACCTTCTTTCAATCCCCTCTCCGGCTTCCCATTGCCTGTGGTTTCCTTCTAGCCCACCTGCCAGGTGAATACTATTCTGAGAAGGGCGTGTTTGTAAGAGTTCCTGCCTTGTGTCATGCTCCAGGGTTCTCGCTGCCCCAGGCAGGAAGGAGGGGGTGGTGGTCCTCCCCCGCCCCGAGCAGGCTGTGCAGCCAGTCAGAATGCTCCTTGTCCTCTGTGATGCTGTTCACCTTCAGTTAGATTGCAACCACAGCGAGGGCAGAAAAGGCTCCATGACTCTGCCAGTCCTGTCCATAACCTGCATACAGCTCAACACACAAGGGGCACTCAGGATAGACAACTGTTTCTCACTGTCTGAAACAACAGTACCACCGAGAGATGCACTTCAAAAGTTGCCCTGAGTGTCTGACACTTTTAAAGGACGACATGGCACTTTCAAAAAAAAAGACTTGAATAATCAAACTTCATGGAACCATAAGGAAATTCATGGTTTAACCAATCACGTTTATCTTTCTCTGTGAAGGAGGAAGGCTATCAAGATGATGGCATTAAAACCCTTACCAACAGATACCCCACAGTGGGAACCAATAATGTTGATGTTGCTCTCAGACAGGCCTCCTATCCGGATCTGATCAAATGCTCGAGTCAGAAAGGCAGCAAAGGTGCTAGCAAAAGCAATGGTCCGTCCACGGGAGGCACAGCCCAGCGCCACGCTCACCTGCAACACAGAGAACATGAATCAGAACATCCCTGGGTACTGCCCCCACTGCCCCTTCTCCCACAGTCCCCACGATAACCCCCATTCTGCACCTGGTGAACTGCTCTGAAGTTCTAGCATGCGTCCTTCCCACGCCCCTCTTTCCTCAAACCCTGGGCACCCGTCTGTCCCTCCTGCTCAGATGGTGCCCTCAGCTCATAGCTCCTAGGGAGCAAGAGACGAGTCTCCTCTGCCTGCCCTCCTGGTGCCCGCAGTTTTCCAAGGTCCACGCCCTGACAGGACATCCTGAATCCATCCTGTTCCTTTCTCACAGGGGTCTCCAGCCATGCAGCTCCTCCTCCCCTCTTGTGCTACTTCCTTTTCTCTTGGATCATTCCATTTCCATTCAGGTGTGTGCCAGTACCTTTTATCTGCACACCCCCATCTCTGCCTTGTCCTGCCTTCACATCTGTGTTCTCCTTCACAGCAAACTTCTCAAAACTTGCCTAGAGTCATTGCCCCTTCCTTCTCATTTCCCACTCTCTTCCCAGCCAACTTCATCTAGGCTACCATCCCCACAAGGTACCTCGAAGCCACAAAACCAAGAGGCTGCCTGACCTTGGCTGGCCTGTGACTTGACTTGGCCCTTGATCTCAAGACATTTCCTCCTCTCAGTTTCTGCAGTGTGGCAGTGGCCCGGTGCTGTCGCCTCATGGGCGCTGCTGGGGCAAGTCCTCAGGGCCCTGCGCATCCTTGGGAAGTCGCATCTGGCCCAATGCTCCCCTGATCTGCATTCTGGTAATGACCCCCACTTTACATTGCCATTCCTTACCCCACTTCCCCAGAAGTCTGGACTCAAATACCCCAGTAGGCTTCAAACTAGAATACAAACCTCTCTGGGGCTACACATGGGCTTTCCAAAGGGGATGTGGCTGTAGGTGTTACACTCAAGATCCCAAACTCCAGATCAACTCTGTCTACATTCATCTGCCAAAAGGAGGGGCCGTACTTCCCTTCCATAGTCTTTTTTTTTTTTTTTTTTTTTTTTTTTT